CCTGTGGCTACTGGGACGCCAACGCGTGATCCAACGCATCCCAATGTAAAAGGGAACAACATGATACTAGGGCCTGTCACGGAAGCGAAGCCGCTTGCGTAAAGAATTTTCTGCCCGCCCGAGGTCTCCAGAGTTGAATAAGTAGCCTCGGCGGCTACTAGAGTTTCTTCCCTTTCCGCCCTCGGCCAAGCTCTATTATGAATCCTGCGCTTTACCGTATCAGGCTTCTCTGTGATCTATGCCGGACATTCTTAATACCTGCTATTTTCTTTGCTCTAGCTTTGCAGCTTACTCGATGGCAGCTGGGCTACTTCACACTTCCTGGATACTTTGGTTTCATTGTTGCGTGGACAGTGCTTAAAGGATGGTATTTTCAGTATCGCCAGGATAAACAAATCCGATCTCTGGGAGCTCGCCCTATTCCCCGACTTGTTGGGAAATGGCCGGGAAATATCGATATCCTTCTCAAGATGATGACAGCGTTCAAAACAAGTTACGTTCTGGATGTATACCTTCAACTTTTCGAAGAATACCAGTGTACGACTCTCAACACGAGGATACTATGGATAGATAATGTACGTTTGAAAGTTACAGTGGTTTCTCTTCGTTATATATAACTCAGAATCATAGATCATATCCATGGACCAAGAGCATTCTAAATTCATCCTCGCGACGGGCTTCAACCACTTCTGGAGGGGAACCTATCAAAAAGAACGCATGTAGGTTCTCATTTTTATTTCTCGATATGTTGACGCCAATTAAATACTAGGGAAACATTTCTTGGTCAAGGAATCTTTAACAGGGATGACGACGTAAGTATAGTTCCTATTCCACATCTCAGTTATAATCACCTGATATACATGTACAGATGTGGAGACAGCATCGTATGACAGCCCGACCGTTCTTCGCTCGAGATCGCATCTCTGATTGCGAGAACTTTGAGAAGCATTGCGCTCGCACGTTACGAATATTATCTTCGTTAGAAGCCAATGACGAGCCCTGCGAAGCCCAAGACCTTTACTCGAGGTTTACACTTGATGCTGCTTCAGAATTCTTGTTTGGACAGGATTTAGAAACTCTCGCTGCGGAACTGCCGATTCCTGGAAAGACGGAAATGGGCCCTAAAGGCTCCGCAACGGAGGATACATGGGGAGCCTTCGCTAAGGCCTTTGAACTCTCGCAGCAGAACATAACTCGGAGAGGGCGAATTGGAAACCTATGGCCGCTCTTTGAACTGTTCGAGGACAAAAATGAGAAGCCTTCCAAGGTTGTTCGAGAATGGCTAAATCCTTTGGTCCGACAGGCACTAGAGGAGAAGGCACGGGCAGAGAAGGCCGGAATTTGTAGTCCAGTGACTGAAAAGACATTTTTGCAACACTTGGCTGATAGTACAGATGGTGAGTGCGCAATGTTTTTCGTTATCGCGCTTTGATTATCATGATAATTAGATCCCGTCCTCATTTGTGATCAGCTGCTTAGCATGCTACTTGCGTCAAGGGATACGGTATGCTCTCCAGTATGATTGATAGTTGGAAATAGCTAATATGTTCGACCTGTAGACTGCTTGTAGCCTCACGTACATCACCTATTTTCTGGCAACGGAGCCAGGAGTCGCGGAACGACTGCGAGCTGAAGTATTAGAGCATTGTGGATCACAGGGAATTCCGAGCTTTGAACAACTCAAGAATCTACGATACAGTAAGTCCTTTCATCGTTTATTTAATCTTAACCTAACGTCTCTGTAGTGCGAGCGGTAATAAACGAGACTCTACGTCTATTTCCTCCTGTGCCTCTCAATGTCCGAGAAACACGGTCCTCGCCATGTGTGCTTCCCTACTCAGACCCTACCTACTATGACGCGAGCTATGACTCTCGGCCGTTATACATGCCGGCAAACACCACGATAGTATACCTTCCTCTGCTGACACAGCGTAACCCTGCTTTATGGGGCCATGATGCACATGCCTTCGATCCCGAACGTTGGCTGCAACCAGAGCGCATCGCCAGGTTTGTTGCAAACCCTGCAATGTTCACGCCCTTTAGCGCAGGGCCTCGAATAGTGAGTTAGTCCTGTGTATATGCTGCGCTTTTACTCACACCACCTAGTGCATCGGACAAAACTACGCATACACCCAGATGTCCTATTTCCTTGTCCGTCTACTGCAGAAATTTGATAAGTTCACTCTAGCTCCGGAATTCCAACCGGAAGGTTCTCTACCGCCGGTGGAATGGAAAGAGCGAAGAGGCCGCCAATCTTTCGAGTGCGTTTGGCCCGCCGCCGCACTCACTTTGTACGTAAAGGTATGTGACTTCTTATAACATGGAAGACGTGAACTAAGTGCGATTACTGAAGGGAGGCATGTGGGTTCGCTTCCGTAAGGCTAAGGGGTAATTCTTACATACCTACGTTCGTTCATTACTCCCCTTTTACATACTGGACATATTATTGTATCGTTAGAATTCACAGAGAACTTGTTTACAATTGCTTGTATTAGGACTGTACATCATATAGATTGTATTTTTTTTTTTTGGCAGACTTGGAGGTACTCGCACTGATTCTTGAAGACGGGTAATGCTCTAAAGGACGCACTGCAAGCGTTCATAGCACATTGCAAGCCACAGTGATCTAAATTTAGAACAATGCTGTAAAATGTTAGAGTTCGGTGTCTAATCTTCCAGAGCTTAACCCTCCCGTTCTACGCGAATTCTGGGAGTCTTTCCCAGGACTTTCGAGATGCAAAAATACTGACAAGAGTGGGACTTGAACCCACGCCATCATACGATGATGAGAACCCGCGAAAGCAGGCAAGCTACGCTTGAGTCACACGCCTTAACCGCTCGGCCATCTTGCCATATAAAACCAATGATAGAATAGAATTACGATGCCATAAAGTACCTACCGCATTTCATGTCGCCTCCAAGCCAAAAGAGATTCGTCTAAAAGATGGGTATGCTATAAAGGAGAAGTAGGACATGAATTCCTATAAAGAGATTTATGCGAATATTAAACAAAGTATCGGACTTACACACCTTGTGAAGGATCTTGCAATTTGCTATATGCGTTACTATTGGGTGGTACCCTCTGAGCCTGTAGACTCGAGCCTGTAGCGTTCAAGTCTCCTTGGAGGTATAATTACAAGGGTTGATCCTACGGAACAAGTATAAAACAAGAAAATGGGAGTGTGAGTGGGCTGTAGGTAAGTCATTGCACCTCACAACCACCATAACACCGCCCGGAGTCAAGACTACTGGGTTTGTAGAATAGCATATTTTGGCTACGGGAGCGATGAGTACCGTGTGGTTATGAAGACAAGCTAAACATTACCTCCGCAAAACTATACCACCGTTGAGGTGTGAATACTTGAATAGAATTTTCACTAAGTGTGCAGACCCCGGTCGGTCGAAGAGGCTGCTGGCAGCTGCAAAATACCCCAGAGTCTCCACATATCATTAATACCGATTACACGGGCGAACTTGTCACATGAATATTCATCAAGAGTTGCGGATGTTTTTTCATTCTGCCTAAGATATTAGCAGTTCAAGTTGCTGATGATCATACACATGATAAGCGCTGACTGTTCCATGATCCGTTTTGTGTAGGACAGCGAAGGCCCATGAGAAAGCAAAAACCACGGGACTTTGAAGGACCGTATGCACAGACCCCTTCCAAAGTGTCAAAAAAAGTAAAATTTCAAGCTCGAAGATGATGCGCAGTACTAGCTAGCACGAGAACGACAGATAACTCAGGGCAGTTCCTGAACAGAATAAGTCGTAATAAGCAAATATACCGCTGACGGAGAGTTAAGATAGAGAAGTAGTGCCAGGTCTTCCGTGGTCGACGGTCGTGGTGATGTCTGGGTATTTGGATGCCCATTAGAGTGCTAGTTATGCGCGTTGGAGGCTGTGAGGTTTGTACAGTAATGTATTCGGCATCTTGAAATAGCGGTAGCGGATGCAGTGCCTCATTTCGGATATAATTAGTATTGTTGCAGACAAACTGGAGGATTTTCTGAAGTCCTGTATGTTATAGGGAAATGTGCTCGTGAAATTTTGTGGTGGAAGTTGGAAAGTGAAAATGCTTTTGTGATTCAGAACGTTAGTAAAGACCCGGTCCGGTTTCCCCTTCGTTGACTAATCCGTATTTCTGGTCTGCTCACCACTTGAATTGCACCACAAACCACTGCATCTCGTCTTGTCTTCTGCTGTACAATATATAATGTTGGCTTTGAATTAGGCTGCTTATCATAAAATCCACAATCAATCCAATAATTGAAAGCTGCTGACTCACCGTCAACAAGTTCAGGCCAGCTTCTAAGAGTAATGTTGAAAACTAGAAACGAAGTCTCAGTGTTTGTAAGTCAAACAGCTGTATTTAATATATACCTAGAAACGAAGTCTAGGAACAATAATAAGTAAATGAAAAGTATCAAGTAAGTAAGGGACTTTACCTCAGTGTTTGTAAGTCAAACAGCTGAGGAAAGTCGACGAGAAATCGTCCTATTTATCTACAAGAGTCCATTTGTAACGACTAAAGTAGATAGACAAAAAGAACTATATAAAAGGAATAGTTAAGGAGAGCATAATCACGAGAACTGTAGGCAGTGCAGTTCTCGAGGATAGAAATACAAGAAAAGTAAGACTAGAAATGACGGACCATATGAAACATATATTATACAGTATATACAAGGTAAACCGAGATGGAGGCGCAGCTGTTGAACTACAGCGGCGTACATGAATATAATAATGACTCCGCGTATGTACTTGTGTGGACGTGCCGGGCTTGTCACGTGTTTGTATTTCAACAAGTAAGACGAGTAGCTTTATTGCAATAATAATTGGCATAAAGCTGGAGGAATATTTGAGATCGATCAGTCCTCTAGGTTGTACTTTGACTAATGGCACTAAAGAGGCATTACAGCTAGTATACTTATCAGTTTTCAAGTATGAACATTGGTACAGTAGAGGTGAAGATGTGATGCATATAAAACCATATCTCATGCACACCGATGGTGAAGCGGTTATCATGCTTGCCTTCCACTGATGTTTCATATGACGTGAAATTACGTAAGCAAGCGGCAGGGGTTCGACTCCCCTTCGGTGTATTCAACATTATTCGCTCATTTCTGAGCTGGCAAATTTATCGTCGGGTATCAATGCTAGTTCGTGTTTTGAAGGCGGAGATCAGAAGTTGAGCGCTCGATATGAGCTTTTTGAACCAACACTGTCGGGTAGTTTGGCTGCTTTTGACAAGCTTTTGATGAATCCCAGCGACTTCTTCCTCCATTGCCTGCTTCTAAGTTCTTGTTCATCCATGCTGGTTGGAGGTAATGGAATATTTACTACTTACATTACATTACATGGACAAATTCTTTCAGTAGATTAGACGACGCCTTGTTGCGATATCCTATCACAACCGACAATAAAGATGGATAAAATAAAAAGTAAAAAATCCAGTTACTGTTTAATGAGGTCTAACATTGCAATGAAAGACACTTTTCTTTCACTGCTTGCATTGACATCGGGCCGGCCAGTGGTAAGCGGCGCCTGAGCCACGTGTGATTTTAAAGACGCGCCGAAATTGGAACTACCGTGTCTGCAGTTCCATTTCTACCGCTTCTTCCCCTGTTTACCTCCCCCCAAGCCATGCGTTCCTCCCCCGTCGCCACTGCCTGTAATGATCTCTTTCAACCAACTAAATCTATGATAACTGAGCTATCGACTTCAGTAGTCACTACGATGACTTCCTCCAAAGCCCCGCCGCACAAACGTCGCCGGATCGTGAGGTCGAGCTCACCATCTTCCACAACGAATTCTAGTGGCATGAACGACTCATTGACGACCAACGTTTTCACCTCACCGCACAATGCTCCAGCCAAACCATCATCTAGTAGGATACCCACCTGCGTTTCGTGCCACCGCGCTTTAACGGGCACGCAGATACAGGTCATCTGTGCTCGGTACGTCTTTTCTGTCCGTTACTGCCACACACTAATCATATCTCGCGTTCTTCCTTTATCCGATCGGTTGAATAGATGCCAACACTCGACATGCACGATCTGCTCACGGACATGCACCTCTATCGCGCCGTCGCAACCCCCAACACCACACCTCACCTGGTCACCTACTCCCTCTCCTTCTCCTCCCTCATCGATGTCCAGACCTGCTCTCGCCTTGAATGCGGCCAATACAAATCTGGGGAATTGGATGGGTGGGAGTAACACTCTGCCTACTGCTATCGCTGGAAAGAGGAAGAAGCTCCTTGATCCTGACGCGGATTTAGGTGAGAATGGGACCGCGAACAGTGGCGATGGAGGCGAGTTTTTCGCTACTACAACTTCGGACGGAGTGGAACCTGGATGCGGAAGAATCGTATGTCGGAACTGTTGCGTTGAGAACCCGCAGAGGTGTGCCTGCTTCTCCTTTGTCCTAAAAACGAAAATTTAATCCTACTTTGATTAGTAATTCTATAGCTTGCTTCGATTGCTGTGCGCGCTAATACCTGGTTCACTCTTTCAAATCATCGACGTCTCTATCGGCTTCAGATGTCTTTATTGATCTCCATCTAATATGTCTGGCATCCGCATCTCAAGGACCTTCTCTCAACCATTGGCTTTCTCACGCACGCATGAACTACCACGGACTTTATTTGTATTACGCTTCATTGTATACTCCCAATCTATGATTTCCAGCTCTATATATACTACATTACTACCCCAAGCACTACCTTACCAGTTCCGTAAGACCGTAAGTAGATACACATCCTCCTTCCATGCATATGCACAATCATTCTAGTTTCCTCTCGTAAAAGCCCAGCTATTAACCCATACAAGCCAGGATTCCGCGAATTGTGACTGCCATTGGGTAATAATAAGGTATCTCTTTGAGAGGCAAAAAGTTGGAACACGAGTTATTGCATTCATTACTACCACCGAAGGGGAGGGGTCTGTTCAAAAGTGGAAAGATTCATTGCGCCGAAGGGAGTTGAACCCCTGCCATCTGATCACTGCTGTACTATGGAAGGCAAACATGATAACCGCTTTATCATCGGTGCGATAAAAAGAAAATATTCACGCCTGCTAACACACGCGTAATGATACTATAAACTTGTCTATGAATTAGTTTTTTATCTTGGGCTTCGGGCTTCGAGTTTACTGCTAGATGAGAGAAGACGAATGGTATATTTAGTCTGACTTGGCCTTCTAACCCTGATACTAGCATAAGAGAAATAGAGATAGAACGAGAAATGGTGGAAAGAGAGGCAGAGGCAGGAAGAAAGGTGAAATAGAGAAGGAAGCTGAAAGAGCGTTGGAGAGTAAGAAAGTTAGGAGAATGAACGGGGAACTGAGGAAATGGAAGAGGAAATGAATGGGAGCGCTCGTTGTCATTTCGTTAAGAAAAGAATATATAACACGTATGAGAGAGAAGGTGTAAGACTGGGGCGTGGGTAGAATAAAATGAACGAGAACGTCGAAGCACAGATTCGGATAAGAAAAAATGTTCATTAAGAGAGTAAAAACAAAAACAAAAGGGATGAGCATGATCTGCATATCCTTCCATCCTTCCAAACAATAGAGACGACACGAGCTGGCTGAGATTAGATATCGAAGAATGGACGCTCAGGGTGCTGCTGCTGTTGTTGTTGCTGCTGGAGAGCGAAGGGGTTGTGCTGGCTCGCCATACCAGTCTGTTGAGTGGCGAGAGCCCGGCCAGCAGCTGGTCCGTACCTATGAACAAAACCCATTCAATCAAGGATCACATACGAAAAGGATAGCAAACATACCTCAAAGCACCGATATTTCCGAATGTGTCCTGCCCATCGTCGCGGTTGGCAAACAAGTTCGCAAGGTGCGCCTCGTTCTCGCCCAGCTCTTTCTTTGTCTTGACGTTGATTGGCCTCTGTCCGCCTGGAGTCGGCGTGGTGGAGAGATTGTGCACGGGTGTGTGGTTGCCATCGTATGTGCCTTGGAGGTTGAACGAGGGTTGGTTGGAGGGCTGTGGGGGGTTGAACGAGGATGGAGAAGGGGAGGCTGGTGCAAAGGGATTGTTGTTCCTGTATACGGTGTAAATAAAGGTTGGGTGGTAAAAGAGGAAAATACGTACCCGAATCCGGTGGGCTGAGCCATCAGTGGCTGTTGCTGCGCGAATAGGTTCTGCTGCTGCTGCTGGGCCTGCTGTTGCTGCATCTGAATGAGTTGCTGCTGACGCATCCATTCTTCCTGTTGTTGCTGTTGCTGTTGCGCCTGCTGCTGTTGCAACATGAAGAGTTGCTGCTGGCGGAGGTATTCAGCCTGAGCAGCTTCTTGCTCAGCCTGCTGCTGGTATGGGTTGAACGAAGTGAACTGTGGCTGCATCGCCGTGAATTGTGGCTGGACAGTATACTGTGGCTGTAAACCGACGGCATATGGCGTGGGGTCGATGAGAGGAAAGGGGTTGTTGCTGTGTGACGAGCTCGGCGAGGCACTATAAGATGTCAGTAGAGAACTTGAAGAACAGGGTGTACACTCACAGCTGTGCCTGATCGTCGAACAACGACGATGAATTTGTCGTATCCACATCCTTCTTCCTCTTTTCCTCCTCCTCCTGGCTAAGCCTGATCGCCTGCTGTAGATCCCGCTCCTCTGCTGTCAGTCGTTCCTGGGCCAGCGACTTCTTACTCTCTTCAATCGCCCGCTTCAGTTCATCCTCATCCCCGTTCGGTCTCTTGCCTGCCAAACTACCATTCGCACCCTGCCTACGTCTCCGGTTCTCATCCTCAGGTTCGCCATCTTCACCGAACTCGCCGTCACCACCACCACCACCACCACCACGGATCATGCGATCTCGCATCGAAGCACGCGCACGACGCTCCTCCCGGAGACGAGACTCGTCCTGAAGGAGGTTGGTGATGTCCTTGGCTTTCTGACGTACATTGGCACCCTGGTCTTTACCGTCTTCGTCGATGTATTGGAATTCCTTCAGGGTTTTGATGATATAGACGTTGTCCCGAAAGTAAATAACGACGTTTTCTGAGCCTTGGTGCAGGCAGTAGTCGAGAACAGTTAAACTCTGTAACGGCGACAACGTGGGTCAACTAGTGTGCGCTGGATGATGTTGGGGTATGAACGCACCTTGAAAACATGCCGCCAGTTCTTACCCTTGTCATTCAGTCGTTTGTCCAGCATTTCCATGATTTCAATAAAGTCTCCCCTATAGAGAAATACGAGCTGAATGAGCATATCAACACGGATTGAAGCAGATGCAAGGCGCCGCACTGGTTGTATGTCAACTGCGCGATTTCGTTCATCTGAGTGCCCGACGGGCCCCAGGAATCATTGGACGTGGCATCGCGAACTTTTGCCTGAGTATCTGAATAGCCTTTCGTGTAGTTTTTGGTCACCCGGAGGGCGGCTTTACCAAAGTGTTGCATCGCTGAAGAGCGCGGTGGCGGGAAGGATGAAGCAAGCGATCGCTCGGGGCTGTGAGATAAGCGCCGCGCAGTTGACTCAATTCTCTCGCTATATGATATGTGTTTCTGTCAGTCTTTCATCACACCGATGGTGAAGCGGTTATCATGCTTGCCTTCCATACAGTGAGATTGGAATCTTGGTAGCAAGCGGCAGGGGTTCGACTCCCCTTCGGTGTATTTTTTTTGTGGTTTGAATCATAGAACTTATTGCAAGTCGAATTTCCTGTTCCGATTATGTCTTCTTCCGGCTATTGCGGGAGATCCGTTGCGTCAATTACTGGCTTGACAGTGTCCATGCTAGATGGCTTAGTTTCCCAAGACCCGAGCTTCTACACTTATCGTGTTCTTTCCACCTTGAGTCATCTATTCCTTTCCTACGATTAAATTATCCCACTACCAGTTTGATCCCATCTATGTTCATTAGTAACTCCGATGCAATCTCAGCCTCGGAATCGATGGACGCATTGAGGGCGTGTTTTCACTCGATGAGTCTATATGACTTATGTGCTCATCTAACTGTATATTTATGTGTGGATTCACATTAACAACTTATTTACCAATTCTATAGGATGAATTCTATCCAAGATTTCGAATATTCGCCTTCTTCTTTATAGCCCCAGGCTTGGTGTTCGGCTCACCTCATACTTTTTTTCGATACATAGGGCTATTTTAATAATCCTTGAGCCTCGATTCATTTATCGTGAACACGCTTCCATCTCCCATGCTTCGTCTCAATGTACTTCCACACTATATTACAAGCCCCTTTTCCTACTTATAATTGGAAATAAAATGCTTGAACTTGGGAATTGTCTTCACCTCTCTTTCTATCATCTCCTTGCAATCTGTTAAAGCATTACAACAACAATCCCTGGTTGGTTTGACAGAAAAGAGAGCATCGAGGTTTCCAAGAGCCGAATAACCGACAACTAACCGTTTTGAAATGGGGGATAATACTGTATGAGCCCACTCCCCGCAGCAATCGTTCGCGTTTTGGTCAATGAAGAAGAGCGTATGTCCGTAGTCGAGATGCGTAGATGCTTCTTGAACATTTCTATATACTTTCATCCACGCATCGACATATAGGATCTATAGACTTCTATTAAGTTCAAATACGCCAGATATTCAAATGACGGACGCACCCAGGGCATAACTAAGTAAGGCGGCATCAGTCGCACCGATTCTGCAAGTGGAAGTGCTATTGCAACCTCTGCAGCAGCACTAATAACCAAAGGATAATCATGACGGCAAGCATAGCTGAGAACCTCCGTTGGATTTGTAGGAATAAAATCTCTGTGTAGTTTGAATGAAATCTGATGAGGAATATCACCGTGAAATATGTATGTTAAGAGCGTACTTCATACGAAGATGGCAAATATACATGGCTGAAAACACCTCGTACTTCTCCGCCGCCTCTGCCAAGGGCTCTATAATCTCAAACGGTACATCTTCAAGCTCAGGGTATCGTTGTGGATATATGAACGAAAACAGAAGCTCCAAAGTAACCGATGACTCGGTCAAAGCGACTACTTCATCCTTCCCTGTCTCGAATTCCGATGGCGGGAAAGCACCGGTGTTGGCTTCGAGATACTTGCGATGGATATGGAAGTGCATGTTATCGCTGGATCGGATGATTACATCTGCATTGGGAGCGTGAACTGTATGACAGTTAGCGTGATAAAACAGTAAATGCGATGCCAGACACAATGAGTCGCATACATTTCTCAGAGACGCTGTATTTCTTCTCTTCTGGATCCATCCTGATTCTTTCCTGGTTTATTTTTCACGTAACGTTATTTAGTGATGTGAAAATTAGTAGATGGGTTTCTAGTTCAAGTTGGTGAAGAAGTAGAGTTAATGGTTTGAACTCAAAGAAACTCGAAGATGCGCTGAAGATTACAGGCTTGTTTTGCGATGCTTTATGGAGATGGCCGAATGATTTGGGGGCAAGTCTACGTACTAGCAGAAAGGCAGACTCCTAAACAAGCTGCTCGTCTCGCGAAGTTGAAGAACCAAGGGGGAGAAATCTAATCTTATCAAAATATAAACAATGACAAAGTGAATCTAAGGAATTGGAATTCGTGAGAGATTTTCTTAGATTCAATTTGTCGCTGTTTACATTTAGATAAGATTAGATATCTCTTCATTCTCCCTGGACCCTCATCGTATTAAGCTCGCGAGACGTGCAGCTTGTTTAGGAGCCTGATGTGTGGGCATTCGCTGTCGCCACTGTTTAATGCCTTTGTGTCAATTTCTTGGCCTAGTCCACGCTCTCCGTAGCGCTAGGTGTAAGCTCTGCGCTCTTTACTTGACGTGGATGTTGGAAATACAAACCGTCTCGCGCATCACCCGCCCTTAAAGCACCACTCAGAATTCCTAATATTGGACCCACGTATTATTTAGACGAAATAGCAACGCATTTATTACTCGGATTCTGTAACGTAGATACAATTGATTAGTATGATTAATTCTACTTTTGTACATACTCCTTTTATTATTTCTTGTAGTATAAAAGGTCTCTAGATAGCGTAGAAACACCTCAGTCAATTCTTATCTGACTGAGGTGAGTTACAGCCTACTTACTTATTTCGTTTCACTCTTACTGATTATTCTCGTAGCTATATCTTATTTTATTCCGTTAGGTATAGTTACTCCGAATATACTATAGTCAATTCTTATCTGACTGAGCTATATCTTATTTTATTCCGTTACTTCGGTGTATCTTTTTTTGTTGAACCTAGAAGTTATTTCAAGATCGAACGACATAACATCGACGTATCGTCAAATGTAAATCTTTGTTACCGCGATCACCTACGTACACCACCTGATAGTACACGAACAACGACGGCATAAGCATATGTATGCTGGTATTATCGGTGCCCTCGATCACTTCACTACATCCGCGTCCTCTTTCGAATGCGATTCTTCCTCGGCCTGCGTTTTCAAAATGATCAGAAAAGATCACTTACGGAAAAGGGAGCACAAACACTTACAAAGTGAACAGTTTTCACAATTGAACGTGCACTTGCCAGTGAACCTGTTATATCACTCTTTAATGAACTTCCTGTAACGATATTTTCGGTCGTAGATTTCGAAGAATATATGTCGACGTCCGTCATCAGCTTGAAGGCCCGAAGAAGGAAATTGCTCTGAGGAACGTGATCTTCGTCACAGGGACCTCCGCCAATATAAATCGATTCCATTGCAAAATTCTCATTCAAGATGTGTGGTGGAACGTTGGCCATTCCTACCCGTGCTGTGGAGGTTGCCGATTTATGAAGTAGCATACAGGTGATGCCGCTGCCATGTATAGCAAGAGGTATCAGCACGTTGGGACGTCCAATCGCATTTACTCGCACGAAGAATGTGCTCTTAAGATCAACAAGCATGACAGCACGAGAATCCGTAGCGGCGTGCCACTGTGGAATTGTATGCTTTGAAGGATCACCCCACCGATAAAGATTTTGAAAAGAGAAATCTCGACTGGTAAGGTACTCTTCTAAATCCTTATCCGAGCGGGTACCTTCAAGTATCATCCATCCATCCCTCTGTAGGTACAATGTCCCAACAGCCAGCTTAACGGTTACGGCGAGTGCGCTGGCTACCCAGAGAACCAAGAGAGCAGTTCGCGAGTTATGAGGGAGGATGAAATCGATGTCAAGCCATAAGATAGCAAGTAATGATGTAAAGCAGAGTATTCTGAGGCCACTCATATTTGTGCTATGATAAAATGCATTGGTATCCCGCCTTAAGATGTGATGTATCGGGATGATTTGTGAGCTCACGATGTTCAGTGCAGGATTAGATCCGCCTCCTTCAGCATTTACAGCCGGAAAGGCAGTCACAAGAGGTTTTAGGCGCTCGATACCAGGTGCTGGAAGAATAGGCTTTCCAAGCCATGTATGTCGAACGGGAAAGTCAAGGACGAGACTGTCGGTATCCCCAGCAGCATTATCGTCGGTGTCAGCATCGCTGCCCTGAAGACTACAAACTGCAGCTAAAGTTGCTACATTGTAGAACGCTTGATTTAGCTCGAGGAGAAATACTAAATCAACCCAACCATCTTTTCCAGGAAGGTCTGCGAGGCGTGCTCGGCGGGGGAGAAGTGCGTTCAGAGATTTACCCAATAGGTTGTGCTGCCTGAAGTCGTTAGCCTCATCCCTTCGAATAAGCTCAACGACCAAGGCATGGATTGCGTCATGAGAGGCAAAGCCTGCCCCGTTCGCGTATTGCATGATCGCCTGTAAATGCCACTGTTTCTCGGCTTCTGCGCGATTCTGTATATTACGTCTAAAGACTTTCCCTGGCTCAGCGAATAACTGGCTGTATGCAGTCCCTGACCGCTTCGAGGAAGGTCGCGTCATACGAACGATTTTAGCGGCGTGAATTATTTCCGCAAGGGAAAAAAGGCGGGTGCCCCAAGGGCAGTTCGGACCTGTGTGATCGCAGTCACGTTCATGGCAGAAGATGCAGACTTTCGCAGCACCACCAAAGATATCTGCCATCCGACCAAGCTCCATAGTTCTCTGCTCCTGAATAGCGTCCATTTCAAGTTCAGTCTTACTCGAAAGGCAGAGCTCGTCCAGCCAGATATACTCAGTCTCGATCTGCGTCGTTCTGCCCTTGGCGAGTCCATATTCGATAAGAACCTGTTCAGCAATACGCTGACGATCACGGAGACTCCATCGACGGCCTTTGCTAAACGGCGAAGGGTCCTGCAAGGTGCGGCCTGCATCTCGGAAAAGCTTGAACGCGCTCTTTAAAGGGTAGCTGAGAGCTGTATAGCCTGCTGCACGAACATCATCTGACCACGAGACCTGCTCGTACTGCGGTGATGTGTTTAGACGGAACTCGACCTTGAGGAGCCAGCGAGGATGGAAAGACACATTCTGATATTCGGCTAGCGACCCATTGCTTGGAGATTTAGCGAGTACTGAGCCAAACAACTCCACTGGTTGTGAGGCTCTTCGGGGCTGCAAGATATGTTGGGATAGCTGAAACACATGGGAAGGAATGAGAGATAATGGGGAAAATAAAATGTGGAAGGTGCATCGTAGAACATTGGCGAGTTGATGGAATTGGTGACTTCGCTCTCTGGAGAACCAAGATGGTCCCTCGACACCCTCGTCCTCTTCGAGAAGTCGTCGGAGATGGAGTCGCTCACGAAGAATCCTAAACGA